ACCCTGTCAACTTTCCCTGTGAGAGGAAACCGGAGTACCCGGGGAAAACCCACGACCTTCGGCAGAGCGTTGACTTTTTACTCTTTTCACATGAGGACTGGGTTCGAGTCGCATTGAGAAAGTTCTCACTGAGACTCGAACCTGCGGCCTTAGAGGTGAAAGGCAAGTGCTCTAACCACTTGGCCACCGAAGCTCCCAAATCCGGGAGCACAAAATAAAACTTCTGCACATATTCTATTATCCAAGTTACCAAAATATCTCACCTCACCCAGATTTTCAAAATATTCATTTGGTATGACGCTGTCCTCCCTCCCAATTTGTTGCATTCCCATTATAAACAACTGAAGAGGTGTCTTGTTTGCAGCTGTGCGCAATTTATGATTCATCCATGAATCACAGAATCTACGCAACGCATCATTAATAACCGGTTTGTACAATTCATGAAGACAAAACAGATGGTCTTCATTATCAGGATCAAGAATTCCTGTTGATTCCATATGCATAAAATGGTCGTAGAAAACGGACAGAACACTCTGATAGACATCACGCCAAAGCCGTTCTATGCGGCAATTATGAACGCTCCGCCCTGTTAGATAACTGCCTCGTCCAGGACCCCTGCTTTCATGGGAAAGCATGAAACGTGCAACGTCTCGGTTTTCAACACCCATGTCACCTCGCACACGGGAAGGCAAACCCCAAACGACAACGGCCTTCTTAAAAAGGTCCAGTACTGCTGCTGAAGTATTGTTGGTGTTACACGCTAGATAGACGACCACACGACTGAAACCATCGATACAACCGTGAACGACGAATCGCCACCTTAAATCAACAAAACAACAGTAAATAAAATATTGTTTACTAGTGCGTGATTATTATACAATTTAGAAACTTCGAACCTTATAAGTTTATGATTTCCGTCCATGTGCCATAGAGCGAGAGGCGACCGGACATTGTACACACGTCTTTGTATACACGAATCCATTGCGCGTAATCTCCTTCCTACGGGATCAACTCGCTTTAGTGAGTCTCGGAGTCTTCTTCTTTGCACTCGAATACCATGTGAAATTAGCTCCCCTTTAATAATTTTGGTGCCTGCAAGAAAAATTGCGGTGTCGGTAATTATTACTTGGTGGTTTTCAGTATTATTATAATACAATACAGTACTGTATTATAGTTCACAAAAGGTGTAACGATTTAATTTGAATTTTAAGTAAAAATGTTGGAAAATCGTAAACAACGTCAAGTAAAGTTATATTAACACAATTTGTTAAAAATAATTTACAATGTCATTTCAAGGGTATAATTTTTAGTAGCTAACCGCTTGAAGATTAGGGTATTTTCTCCATTATAAAGTATTTACCTGATCGTGGAAAGTGTGCAACTATGTGTTGCACATGAACATCTAAGGAGTCGTCGTCAATATCGCTGTAACGATATACATTCGTCATATTGTATTCAACAAATCTATTCTCAACTGTGCGTAAGCTAACACCCAGCATTTTGGCCATCTCTCTTTGGGTAAATCCATTTCCTAATAAGTAATAAACGCAGGGTCAGAGTGGCATAGAGATTATTTCACCTAATATATGTACAACTAAAAAAAAGAAGATAACTGAAAAAGACAAATTTAATATTAACCTACACAATAATCAATGGACAATTAACATTCTATATTTTGGATAAACTGCTATTTCTAACATTTGACTAATATATGTATAGTTCAAGGGGAGGAGGAGGGGCTAATTTTTTAAAAATTCATCAGCTTTTTAATTAGACTAGTTGCAAAAAATTGTGTACAATAGCACTTTTAATTATATAACAGCTTCTCCCGCCTTCCTCAAAAAAATGTTGATTGTATTATTACAGCAATATAAAATCAGGAATGTAGAGAAATGAAAAATAAAATTGATTCAAAGAAAGTCAACTTAAATTTACTTAATCATAGTGCATGATATTTTCTTTTACATATTAGACAGCGAGCAAAAAGTTAAAAGACATATTATTCAATTCGCTCTCTTCATAATATTTGGGGGGGAGCCTAATGCCCCTCCTATATAGCCCCCTGTTCCACAACCCATGTGATATGTCTATATATATATATATATATATATATATATATTGTACAATCTACAGACATGCATGTTTCGGCGTACAATGCCTCATCATATATATATATATATATATATATAAGCGTTATAAATACTTATTAAAACATACAGTTACGACATTACTTTGAAAAAAGTGTAGTTGTTCCTCTGCAATGAAAAACTTTGGTCTTCCTCTTCTGCCAGTTATCTCTTGTGGTGTTTGATAAGAGCAATAGTCATCATTCCTTGCTGTGTCTCGCCTTATAATATTTTTCGCCTGATTTAATAGATCAATGATGTTTAGATTTACACCATCACATCTCATTGCTTGTTCCGCAAGCACCTCCAGACGCCTTAGACATAACTCACGATTTTCATGATAATTTGCTGTCAGGATACAATCAATTTCTTCAACAGTGTCTCTCAACAGTCTAATGAACGCCTCGGTCATGTTCACGAAATCATCTATATACTACAAAAACAACATTTGTGCCCTCTGAAAAATTTACTTAAGTTCAATGACTATTAAAAATACCTTCATGCAGTGACATACCTTTTTACTATATGCTATTTGTATTAAGGCTTTTGCATATCTTACTAAAAAATAACCCGGTCCGCAATCCGCAATCCGCGTTTCCCCGTAACCGTAAATTGTACCGTGTGGCGTGGCGAATAAATATTTTAAAAACGTTTCGCCTACGGGTAAAGTGCTGCTCTTATTATTTACATAATGTCAAGCATTCTGCGTGAACTACATACTAGTATGTTCAAAATATCGATGATATTTAAAATTTATTCAATAATTTTATATACTAAACTCTGTGGAGTGGTAAAAGCTCGATCAGTCGAGCGTGCACTTTATACATAAATTACTTACTGATGGACAATATAACTCAACGAAATTACAATCAAAACTAGTTGTGAACTAAACTCATTACCATGATAATAAATCTTAGGCATTAATATGTAAAAATAACGAAAATATACGTACTTTTCTTCTAATAACTTGTATGTGAATACGTTGCTTTGTTGTTGCAAAAATTCCCGCTTTTTTGCACTGGAAACGTCATGTTCTATTTATGAAATACGTGACCACGTGCGTTAAGCTATTTGACAAAACATGCCATTTGACAAAACATGCCATTTGACAAAACATGCCATTTGACAAAACATGCCATTTGGCAAAACATGCTATTTGACAAAACATGCTATTTGACAAAACATGCCATTTGACAAAACATGCCATTTGACAAAACATGTCATTTGACAAAACATGCCATTTGACAAAACATGCCATTTGACAAAACATGCCATTTGACAAAACATGCTATTTGACAAAACATGCCATTTGACAAAACATGCTATTTGACAAAACATGCCATTTGACAAAACATGCCATTTGACAAAACATGCCATTTGACAAAACATGCTATTTGACAAAACATGCCATTTGACAAAACATGCCATTTGACAAAACATGCTATTTGACAAAACATGCTATTTGACAAAACATGCCATTTGACAAAACATGCTATTTGACAAAACATGCCATTTGACAAAACATGCCATTTGACAAAACATGCCATTTCACAAAACATGCCATTTCACAAAACATGCTATTTCATTCAACAAAGACATATGCGATTGCGCGTTTTGTTATACCATTTGTCTTTAACATATACCATTTAGACACGCGAGGACATACGGTTTGACTTTTACACATTCCATTTCAAGTTTACATATGTCGTTTTAAGTTTACATATGTCGTTTCACGATTACATATGCCGTTTCACGATTACATTATTTTTGGTGGTAACGGCCGCCCATATGCTTCACTTCCTTTAGAATCATAACACGTTTTTGACCTACGGCGAGAGTGACCTAGTCTCCTACGCATACCTACTTAGCGGGCTGAGCCCTCACGTAAGGTATGCTTACTTTATAGGTTTCGGCTCGCATTTTTCTCCGATAGTGGATCGAAGATCGATAGCCACAAAATAGAATATTAATGAGCTACCTAATTTTTACCAAATTATCCATAAAGCTCCTGCGGCTCCTGCCAATTTTTCAAATATCAAACCTTCGCAAATCGCAAGTTACGTTTGACTGCGCTGCTTTATATTTTGAGAAGAAAGCGGCACCGTTCGATTCAGCGTAAGAAATTTTTCTTACGGATGTCAAGTGTATTACTAAATTAAACACCAGTATTCTAGCGATTATGGCCTTTGAAAATCAGGCGAAATTGTATTGTTGACATCGCTCGCAGTATGTATGTATTTGTAATGCCTAAATGGTGCAATAATAGTACTGTGTTAAGCCTTTCGCGCCGGTGTTCGAATTTTCCGCTTAGCTCGGGGAAAATCTTAATTGAAATAGCTGTGTTTAACAGTAGCTGCTAATGGTGCGACGCTACAATAACAAAAATACTACGGAATATTGAATTAATAGTTTCCGTATCAATTCTGTCATCAGCTCATTCTAATAACACAATATATCAAACACATATGTTTCTATTCTAATACTGTATTAAGTCAACTAGGCGTATCCTTAACCCTCATCTTAGTCCCAGGAAGATGACACTGGAGACGAGGTTGCCTTAATCGAAGCATAAGCCCAATCATGGATAATAAAAGCACTGGACAGGAAACTCATGATCGCGTATTAATAATGTTCGCGTTAGCGTGCTGATGGCGTCTCAACCTTGTTGAAAGTTGCACGTTTAGCAATAATAAAGCTGAACATTTTAGTCAAAAAACTAATATATATAACACGTCACTGTAACGATGAAATCTCAGATTATTATCACACAATTTTAGGTAACATTTCAAGCATTAAAACGGTGAAATATGCATTCACAAATTTCAATTAAATCAATGATAGTTTTGCGATGCCAATATTCCAAACAAAGACGAAAAACACTCAGTTCTTAAATACTTTTTCGAGGCCAAGAAAGGTTTATAAGACAACAAAGTAATTCTAAGTTTCAATATAACTACTTGAATGCGGGAAATACGTTAGGGAAATCCTGAGCGAAATTAAGGAAATGCTGAGCAACGTTACCATATTCGCAATTATTCGTGACATCACGAATTTAAAATAGGTTGCGTCGTTGGTATACCAGACAGTTTCTTGTCCAGATTTTTACCGGAGGTACATAAAACCTTCTCTCTCCTCCTCTGTTTCCTTTTCAGTTGTAAAAACACCACATTTGGGATCAATTCTACCCATCAACTTAAACACTGCGCAAAAATACATGTATGAACACTAAAATGAAAAACAAAGCAATAATTTAAAGACCTACATAACCTCGGATCCCATCCCAGGACTTGGATAATCAGCTAAATTACCAAAGTTTGGATATCAGATGTAATCGATCTTAGCTAAAAATAATCAGTAAATGTAATCGTGAACAATGTAAAGAATGTACTAAACGTGCGAAGAATAATAGCGCGGTTGGTTAATGAACACGAGGATGAGTTGAATGGGTTTACTGGCAGTTATGTTACATGATACATGGCACATAATGGTGAACGAAGACCCTCTCAAGAAAACCTTGGTCCAACAAATCCAGTCCAAAGTACTACAAATTCAGAAATTGTAAATTAAGGTTATATTTGAACTAAAGCTAATAATAAAGCGCCACTGTCATAGACACAAAAGTCGAATAGTAATTCGCATCATCTACTGTAAGTGTGTTCAGTGTTGTACTGTTTAACAATGACTGTACTGAAAAGATTCGTACATGATGTGATCACTGCTTTCTCCCAGAAGATAGACTTGGTTTCAGTTTGTATAACTGTGAATATCATACTATTTACAGCTGGAAACTACAGATTTTTACGTTTGGATAAAACGCCTGCATTTCAGACGCGAGACGTGATATAGTTGTAGTTCGCTACTGTAGCGAACTACAATTTTCAAGTAGCCAGTAGTTTTTGACTACTTTTTTAAAACAGTAGCTGTAGTTATAGCGAACTACATTTTGCCTAAAAGTAGCCAAGAAGTTGGCTACTTTTCAAACAGCGAATCGCTATTCGCTACTTTTTAAATTGTTGAATGACAATGATTTTATCTAGAACGCTTTAGGCTCCGATATAATTTTTACGAAATTATATCACAACATAACAAATCATGCATTGGACTATTCCCACCGCAGTTAAGCCAATCTTTCCGCTTGCCCAGTGTGGACAACATTGTCTTAAAAACTATTTTTTTTCTGCCGACCCTATTATTTTTTCAGCGCGATTGACCGTACGACCTTATTTTCTCCAGGTGGTTGCGGGCTGCTCATACAGCGTGCCAAAATGGCGTCTGTTGTCACACTAATTATTGAACCAAATTGCCTAAATTCGTCCATAGGAAATACGCATCTCTAGTTAATATTGATGTCGGGACTCTACTAGGTGGGAATTTGACGGCCAGGGCTCGAATTTTATTACGGCAATTGCCGTAGAGGGAGAACAAAATGCCGTGGATCATTGCGGCAACGACGGCAATTTTTTGCCGTATAGTGCAATTTTTATACTCTATTTTTGTTCTTTTTAATCTTGAAACACCACCCGATTAGCGCGTTTGACGCCGGCTGACAGCCGGAAATGTTGCTCGGCTGCCAGCCGGGCTGTACTATAGTATACTGTTCGTTCAAAAAATGCGCGCATTTCGGAGACTGGTTCTAGAATGTTTCATAAGCAGAAAACCACCAAAATTACATTAAATTTTCCGAAAATCATCGAAATGCATCTAAATTATCTTCCCAATGCATATAGCTAGCTATGCGACAGGTAAATAAACGAGAAAAAAACAATTTCGGCAAAAAGAAAAATTCAAATTACGGAAAATATGTTAATTTATTGTATATATACAGGTTATTCTTAGCCAGCGCGATTAAAGATTGTACCCATCGTACACTAATACTACGATACTTCACGGCTACCAGCCGACAATACGGCTATCAGCCGGGCCTTTCTGTAGTATACTATAGTATACTACTACATCACGGCTACCAGCCGGGGTTATTTAACTGTAATAAAATACTACAATGCAATACGAGTGTCAGCCGAGCCTGTCGGTAGTATACTGTAGTATACTACAAAATTATACATCGCGCTACCAGCTGGCAATACGGCTATCAGCCGGGCCTGTCTGTAGTATACTATAGTATTAAATAATACTAGGAGTTACTATCGCAAGGAAAATGCTGCCGATATGTACATGCAGGATGTACTACAACCAAAAAGTGTCTTTTTCACTGTATAGGAAAACGTGCAGCAAATTTGATTATAATATATTTGATTCTGAACGCTGATTGAAGAGCCGTGTTGATATAGGCCAAGAATTCCTTTCCTCAAAATTAGCCAATCACAGCTTTACCCACGAAAATTGTGGGGCTTGACCTTTGGCTTTGACCTTG